GCGACGACCTGATACCCATGCGCGCCGCCGCCGCCACACCCGCCGCCGCGTCGGCAGCCACTGCTCTTGCCCCCTCTTCCGCCGCCTCCTCTCCCTTCTCCGCGCCGCGTCCTTCCGCACGCAGACGCCGCGCGCGGTGCTGCGGCGGCCGGCAACGCCTCTGGAGTGTCGACAGCTCACAGCCGGTCTCTCGCGCTTGGTACCCCCCGGTGTCCACGGGGGGGGCGCGTGAGTTCTTCCCCGCTGCCGCTCTCGACTCTCTCTCCTCGCCTCGTACCTCGCTCGTTGAGGGCAACCGGGGCGGGCAAGCCCGGAGCGCAGAGTCGAGACTAGAGAGACACCGATCATATTTGTACCTTTCACATGGTCTCGACTCGACCCTCCGCCGTAACTACCGTATAGAGTTCCGTACTCGTATCTGACAAAACTGTCCGCCGCGAGATGAAGAGCACGAGCGAACCCGGCGCAGCCGTCTGCCGGCGCGGCGTCGGCAGGGTGCATCCAGGGTGCTTCGAGTGCTCCTCTCCTTGATCCTCAGACCGCCTCTTCCGCGCACTCCTCCCACTCCATGGTCACGTGCCGCGCGCGGCCGAGCGGCGGCGGCGGCGGCTGCGGCGGCTCGGGGAGCGCAATGACGATGGCTCGGAGCTGCGCCGCGAGAGAAGGCTCGAGAAGGTGAGTCGGAGGCAGCATGGCGCGAGGAACGAGGCGGACGAGGCGGATGCTCATGTGGGTCGCGAGGCCGTCGGCCGCCGACGAGACGGGCCGGCCGGCGATCAGCGTGTCCGCCTGAACACAGGGCCGAGCTGCTCAGAAAAGGAGCCTCTACTTCTCCGACGTTTGGTCGGGGCGCCGAGCACCTGAAAGGGTGACTCGCCGACGAGGAGCCGCACCCTGTCGACAAACGGCGTCCCGTTGGCGACGCACTGCTCGATCTGCGCCGCCTGGGCCGCCGGCAGGAGCAGCAGCTCTGCCATGTTTCGGCCGGAGCACTCGGCGAACGATTTTCCGATGAGCATGTGAACCGCCGGCGACGCGTGCATGACGCGCCCCCGGAGGTCGACGAGCCAGCGCGCCTCGTAGGAGAGCGCGACCGCCTGCTCGAGCCTCATCGTCGACGGCGCCGCGCTCGGGCCAGGGCCGCTCGCCATCTTGATGAGGTTGTTTTCGTGCCCTAGCTTCGACCGGGTTGATTGGGAATTTGATGGAGCCTTCCGGCGTGTCATTCTCGAGGTCTCGAGGTGATTTCAATACCGTCACTTCACCCCTTCAATCAACCCCTTCTCCGGCTCGAGGTGTCCGGTGCGGGCTGCGGCGTGCGCGGTGCTGGAGGGCCGACAAACAAAAAAAACTGGTTTTTCACCCGCACCTTGTGCAGTTCGCCTGCCGCCGCCCTCGCCGGCGGGTTAGCCTCACACAGCAGCGCCGTGCGCCGAATAGCACAGCCACCGCACGGCGCAGCCCTCGTCCTCTGGCTGCGCCGGCAGCTCGAAGCCGCGCTCTTGCGCCCACAAGCGGATGCCCTCCACCGCTAGCGAGGCGTGGAAGAGGAGCGAGACGGCCGCGACGCGAGCGATGTCGGCGGGGTCGCAGCGAGAGAGGGCGCGTACGAGGAGCTCCGTGGGGAGGTCGAGGAGGCTGGGCGGCGGCATGTCTAGCGAGGGAGCGGCGGTGGAGCGGCGGCGCGGCGGGGTGGACATTGCCAAAAGAGACACCTCGCAGCAGGTGTGTGCCAGTCCGCGCCAGTCCGCGCCCTTGTCGTGCCAGTGTGCTGTGAGAGAGGCTTGTATTTTAACATTTCTTTCTCTTTTCCCGCTTTCCGCCGCTTTCTTGTTTTCTTTGCGAATATGAAAAATGTCCAGACAGCAACCGCAAACCGAGATCGAGTTAGGACTCCACCCACGACTCTACGGCGCCACACTGGGCCGGGCAAGAGCCAGGCCTGACGACGTACTCCTGCGCCGCCTCGTCGCACGCAAGCAGCGCCTCGCACACGGCATCGGGCGGCGCGTCGACCCACCCATCGCTCGCGCAGAGCGAGATCAGGCCGCCGCCGCCGCCCTTGCGCCACGTGCCGACGCCACCGAGCGCCGTGAGAGACTCGGCCAGCGCGCCGCCCTCGGGCGCCGCCACCGGCTCACGCGTCACCAGCCGCTTCACCCAGCCGTGCCCAGGCGTCTCGTACTCGTAACGCCAGCCGCGCGCGCCGCCGTCCGTGGCGCGCAGCACGCGCCGGATGCCAAAAGGCGCGCCTGCAGGAAGGGTCCGGGAAAGGTCCCGGGGCGGTCTGGGAGGAGGAGCAGCCGTGTGTGCCGTTGCTCGGCGCGCCGAGAAGCTGGGTGAGGCCGCGGTGGAGCGCCTGCGGGAAGGGTCCGGGAAGGGTCCGGGAATATTATCTAGGAGGAGCGGGGGGAGGCCGCGGCGGAGCGCCACGGCCGGCAGCCTCGGGCACTCGCCGGGAGACCGCTTTCCCGCTCCCGGCAGCGGCTCGCTCGACTCCGCCTCCTCCTTGGGAGAGGGCTCGCGCAGCACCGCGATTGCGCCGGCGCGAGAGAGGGACGCGTCGCCGCTCGCCAGCGCCTGCCAGCCCGCCAGCGCCGCCCCCCACCCGTCCCGCCACGGAGCCTCCTCGTCGGCAGCGTCGGCACTGTCAGCCTCGAGCGAGGCGAGCAGCGCAGGCAGCGCGGCGAGTGCCGCGTCGTAAGCGGCGGGATCGCCCCCGTGCGCGCCGCCGATGGCCTCGATCGCCGCATCGAGCCGAACGCCCGCATCGGAGGACCACTCACCAAAGTCGCCGGCAGCCGCTCCATCGGCGAGCAGGCTGGCGTGCCGCAGGGCCGCCTCCGGGTGCAAGCAGGCGTAGGCGCTCAGGACGCCGTCGGTATCGAAGTGATTGTTGATGACGAGCGCGTCGTCGTGATCGGCGTAAGCGGTCCCACCCACGCGCCTGATCCGGGCGAGGCGTAGTGCGCACTCGGTTGAGGTGTCGGCGTACAGGTCATCCGGCGTCTCGTTGTCTGTCCAGTGCGTCAGCTCAAGGGTGGCGCCCGGCACCCGACCGTCGCAGGTGATAGTCGCGCCGCCGGCCGGCGCTCGCTCGCCGTACGGCACGCAGCGGAAGTGGCGCAGCGCAGCGGTGGGCCGCGCTTTAGCAGCCAATACGATCAGGCAGCATGCTGATCGCAGCCGCACTCGCATTGCCGCGAGCGTGTGCAAGGCGCAGGGTTCCGGCTCCTACCCAGATCGGGGGTCTGTGCATTGTTCGCACCAAAAAAACCGATAGTAAAGCCCTACCTACCTACCTATTGCGGGGCCGCGCAGCGAAGCGAAAAATACCCTTTGAGCCCTCTGTGAATAGGCTCCCAGCGCCCGCCGCGCGCCGGCTTGTACCGCGGTGCGCGCCGCTCGCGAGCCCGCCAGAGCATGCCCTTCCGGCCCCCCCCAGGCGTTTGACGCCCCTTTTCGCGGCTAAATCGCGCCGTCTCCCGCGCGAGCGAACCGTCCCCCCCCCCCCCCCCCTTCCAAACACACACCACCACCTACCTACCTATTGCGGGGCCCTCTGGGGCGGTCAAAACCGGACCTACCTACCTATTGCATAGGGTCTAACCGTGGGGATCAGACCCCCTATCTGGGTAGGAGCCGGAACCCAGGCCGTGTTTTTCGGGCAGAAAGAATTCTTCCAGCTCAGCTGGGAGCCAAGGAGAGCATTTTGCAGTGACTAGTCCCCCAAAGAGTTTAGCATATGCGCCTAGTGCGCACACTGGGCCCACATAGATGTGACCCGCCCACTCGAGTGCGGCGCCCGGAGGCTAGTTAGGGTGCCCACAGGACCCAAAAGAAAATAGCTTTCCGACTCAAAAAGGGACGCACGAGGCAAATCTGGAGGAGCGGCGACGCTTGCTTGTGGAGGTTGCACGGCCGCCGAGCCGAGATCGGTCAGACGTAGGGCTGGCAGAGACCCCTACAGGAGCTGCGGCGGCAATCTACAAATTCTTTTGCCCTCTCTGCATGCTGCATTTCCGGGAGGTGTTCGAGACCTCCTGCTGCAACGCGTACATATGTGCCTTTTGCCACGCTGACTATGTTCGGCGGCAAGACGCTAGCGAGCCGAGCTGTGCAGCCGATGCCTTCATCCCGGTCGGTCTCGCATGCCCTCACTGTGCCTCGACGTCGACGGGGGATCCGCTGGCGCGCCGAACCCAGGAGGACACGGCGCGGCTGCATGTCGATTCGCCCGCCACAAAGAGGGCGTTGCAAGCGGCCGCGTCTGGTGGCAGGGCGGCGGATGAGGATCAACCGTTCTCGCCGCTGCGGATAGGGGATGGGTTTGCAGCTATGGCGCGGAAGATGAGCCGGCTTGAGGATACTGGCATGTCGTTCTCCAGCGGCAATGTGAGTACTTCTTTCTCCGAGAGCTCTGAGAGCACTGTCATGTGAAAGAGACGGACACGTATGGGCTTGGGGCCGCAAAGCGGTTTGCGCATTACGTATGGGGCGCTCGTTCACGGTGCAAGGCGCGCACTGCTCTACCGTTTGCGGTTGTGAGTGTCATATCAGGTCCGAACGGGAACGGTCTTGCCAATGTATAATAAGAGTGTGCGGGTCTCGAGAACGAGATGATTCGAAGCGAACGCAGCTCACCACACACTGCCGGGTCCGCAGGCCACCGCACTCTCTCGTCATCTACCCCATCCCACATAAGCGCGCTACTCTCGCATACCCGAGCCTCCGTCCCCGCCGGCGCGCGGCTCTCCGCGCTCGCGCCACTACCCCTCCACCGCCCTCCCTCTCGCCGCGGCCTCAAAGGCTGTACCCATCGCGCGGCGAGTCGTCGCGTCCGGCGTCAGCCTGTCGCGAGGTGAACATGGCCAGCGTGGAGAGCAGCCGCGCGCCTCTGCCATCGTCGCGGCCGGTTCGCGCCGCGGTGGCTGGCTGCAGCCCTCTCCACGCCTCCCTCAGCCGCGCGGTCGCCGGGCCGACCTCGACCGCCTCGTAGACCGAGTCGGCGGGCCGCGTCTCGGTGGAGGCCGCGCCGCCGCCCCGCCTGACCAGGCCCAAGTCGAGGAGGCGCGCCAGCGCCGCGTGCGTGTCCAGCTGCACGGCAACGCCGAACTCGGCCTCGAGAAAGGCGCTGCAGAGCACCTCGGCCTCGGCGGCGCTCATCGGCAGCGGCGGCGGGCTGTCGCCCCCCGCACTCGAGCCGACCACAGAGCCGTCCGGGCCCGACTGGGCCAGCATGAGCAGGTAGACGAGGAGCGCCTCGCGGTGCTCGTGCTCCTCGATCGAGTTGAGCACGTGGAGCAGCACCTAGTCCCATACCTCCAAGGTATCGAATCCAGTGTGGGTGCAGGGGCTGTGGGTGTGGTGCGTGCAGCAGGCACCCCCTTCTGCGAGTCCTGCGAGCGGTGGTACAGCGTCGTCCGGATGAAGTCCTCCATCGTCGCCTGTGCGCACCAAGTCACCGCTCACGATGGACGACCGATGACCCCTTCGATGGAAGGCCCTCCGCCGTCGCCTTTGCGCCCACCACGTACCGCCACGTCTGGAACGCTCGCAGCGCGAGCAAGCCGATGAGCGTCGCCCGGACGGTCCAGTCGGTGCCTAGAAGGGTCCTAGAAGGTTCCTAGAAGGGTCCAATGAGCGTCGCCCGGGCGGTCCAGTCGGTGCCGTGCGCGAAGTAGTAGCCGTAGAGCGCCGTCGCGATGCCTAGAAGGTTCCTAGAAGGTTCCTAGAAGGTTCCGAGAAGTAGTAGCCGTAGAGCGCCGTCGCGATGCCGGCGAGGAGGAGCATGACGATCTTGACTTGGTCGGCCGACTTGATGCGGGTGGCGCGCAGCCCAGGGAAGACGACCTAGTCACGATTGCATACTCGCTGCTGTGTAATGGCGAGCAGACTGACAACAACAACTACTACTACTACTCATAAGGTGTACCTCGACGTCGGCGATCGGAATGTCGCGGAAGGACTTGAGGCGCACCTGCTCATGCATGATTACGCATCGGCTATGATGACCTGATGCGCGCACATGAGTGCCCCCCCCCCCCCCTCCCGGCGAGTGAACTGTCTTCCCAAACTGTCCTCTCAGAACGTGGCGCGCCTGCACCCCCTCCCTCCCCTCCTCGTCGCCTCCCACGCCGCCAAGCTCCGAGTAGAAGACGGCGACCTCGTGGAAGGTCGGCTCCTGCACGGTCAGCCGCCTAGTACCGCACCTCCGCAGTGGTCGAATCCAGCCTGGGTTCGGCCCCGTGGGTGGTGCGGTAGCGGCGCAGGAAGAAGCGGCGCAGCAGCAGGCAAAACGACGGGATCAGCCGGCCGAGGTTGATCCTCTGCGTGTCGATGCCGGCGCCGCGCAGCACCTCTGCAGCGTCGGCTTCGTGCGCAGAGGCGCGCGAGCCTACGCCGAGTGTAATCTCGTGTAATCTCGTGTAATCTCGTGAATCTCGTGTAATCTCGTGTAATCTCGTGTAATCTCGTGAATCTCGTGTAATCTCGTGTAATCTCGTGCGCAGAGGCGCGCGAGCCTACGCCGAGTGTAATCTCGTGAATCTCGTGTAATCTCGTGAATCTCGTGTAATCTCGTGCGCAGAGGCGCGCGAGCCTACGCCGAGTGCGTGTGCTGCGCAGGCTGAGCAGTCAAGACAAGGTGTGGCGTGCGGACAGCCGCGCGAGCCTGAGCCAGTGGCTCAGGACGGGGGGAGGTAGGGGGGGAGGTCGGGGCGAGGTAGAGAGAGTGTGGAGCGTGTGTGCGCGCCTCGCTCCATGCCGGTGGCTCGCGAGGCGACGGCGCGGCAGAGGGCGGAGTAGCAGCGGCGGGCCGGGTCCGTGAAGAGGGTGTCTATCGCCATGTCGAGTTTCTCCTCGAGGAACCACTCCGCGCGCTGCTCGATCCCTAGAGATTACACGAGATCACACGAGATCACACGAGATTACACGAGATTACACGCTGCTCGACGCCTAGAGCTCGCGCAGAGCCGCAGTCACAGTCATCTCAACCGCGACCGACACTGCGCGCACTCCTAGGAGTGGGCGTGCCTGATCCGCGGTGGAAGGCGAGCAAGATAACACACAGTAATGAGAATCATAATGGTGAGCATAATCACAATACTTAGAAGAATGAGGTGCCTGATCCGCGGTGGAAGACTAGCACGCGACGCGAGAGCTGCGCCGCCTGCGGCCCGAGGGAGAGGGAGATCGCCGGGAGATCGCCGGGAGATCGCCGGGAGATAGCCGAGCTGTAGCCGAGCATAGCCGAAACACAGCCGAGAGATAGCCAAGCTGCAGCCGAGGTGCAGCCGAGCTACAGCCGAGATGCAGCCGAGCTACAGCCGAGATGCAGCCGAGATGCAGCCGAGCTACAGCCGAGATGCAGCCGAGCTACAGCCGAGATGCAGCCGAGATGCAGCCGAGCTACAGCCGAGATGCAGCCGAGCTACAGCCGAGATGCAGCGGAGCTGCAGCCGAGGTGCAGCCGAGCAGCAGCCGAGATGCAGCCGAGGT